ACTGGAGGGGTTGTGGGAGGCTAAATGGGTAAGGGGCAGTAAGGAATCTACTCCTGAAATCATTCTTGCACTATATGCTAACTAATTTGGATGTAAATTAAAAAAAACAAACAAAAGAACCTTGAAAACTTTTTAACTTTTTTTAATGTTGATTTTATTTTTGATAGAGAGAAAGAGAGAGTGCAAGCAGGGGCGGGGCAAGGAGACAGGGAGACACAGAATCCGAAGGAGGCTCCAGGGTCTGAGCTGTCAGCACAAAGCCCGATGTGGGGCTCGAACCCGTGAGCTGTGAGATCATGACCTGAGCAAAAATTTGATACTCAAGTGACTGAGCCACCCATGTGCCCCAAACCCTTGAAATTTCTTAAGTGAGGAAGAGTGATAAAGGTGTCTCTTACTATGTTGATGAGGTGAGTTTTAGGAATGGGGGGCTGGTTGCCAGGGGAACCAGAGCAGTGACTGGAGGGTTAAAACTGACCCCCAACCCTCCAGGGAGGAGAGAGGGGCTGGAGGTGGACAATGGCCAATCACCGATGATTTCGTGCACCCTGCCTGTGTCATGAAGCCTCCATAAACACCCACAAGGGCGGGGTCTGGACAGCTTCCCGACTGTGGAACCAGATCCAGTCCCCAGGGCACCCTTCGGGGCCTCTGACTGGGGACAGAAGCTCCTTTGGAATCTCACCTGATGGATCTCTTCATCTGGCTGTTGATTCTTATTAGTTAATATGCTTTGCAGCAAACGGGTTTCGTAGTAATGGTTTCCTGAATTCTGGGGGCTACTCCTGAAAATTAACTAAACCCAAGGCGGGGATCCTAGGAACCTCCGAAGGCCACTGGAGTTTTGGTTGGCATCTGAAGTTGGGGGAGAGGGGCTGCCTTGTAGGGTGAGCCCTTACCCTGTGGGATCTGACCCTATCTATGGTTAGACAGTGCCAGAATGGAGTTCAATTTGATAACAAAAGGCGCACCTGGGTGGCTCAGTTGATTAAGCGTCTGACTCTTGATTTCTACTCAGGTCACGATCTCACAATTCATGAGTTTGAGCCCCACGCCAGGCTCTGTGGTCACAGCACAGAGCCTGCTTAGGATTCTTTCTCTGCCTAGGATTCTTTCTCATGCTTGCTCTCTCAAAATAAATACACTTAAAGAAAAAAAGAAATTTTTTTAACGTTTATTCATTTTTGAGAGACAGAGACAAAGCATGAGTGGGGAAGGGGCAGAGAGAGAGGGAGACACAGAATCTGAAGCAAGCACCAGGCTCTGAGCTGTCAGTACGGAGCCCGACCTGGGGCTTGAACTCATGAACTGCGAGATCATGACCTGAGCCGAAGTCAGACACTCAACCGACTGAGTCACCCAGGAGCCCCAAAAAAAAAAATTTTTTTTAACGTTGAGAACAAAAGACCCTAATAATCAGACAGCAACAGCTAACGGACAAGATGGGTTCCCTCATGGCAAGGGAGAGAAAACAGAAATTTTCACCAGGCCAGATGACCCTGAAGAATAAAAGCACGGCCTGTGGCAATGGGCCCGCACAAAATTCAGCAAAATTCACGGGAAGACACACGGTATCGTGCTCCTCCTCAGCTGCCACACCCTGGAGCCACTGCCGGAAACGGAGGGCTGGGTCCTGCTTGTCGTCTGCTCCTGAAGTTGAAGTCTGGGGTCGGACCACCCTCGACAAGGGGACAAACTTGCGGGTTTTGCCTATTTAAGCCTAAACCTTCCCCTCTGGAGTGGGCTTTCCGTTCACAGCCGAAGGCTGTGGTCTCCCCAGTCTGCAAATCGTGGCAGCAAAGCTTCCCCTTGCCTGTGACCAAATCGTGGTATCTCAGGAGTTTCTGCTGACAAACTGCAGGACACCCAGCTGGTGTCACAGGGAAATGAGTGGCTGTGGGGAAAAATCTCCACGCATTTGGTGACCAGGAGAGTCAGAGGCGCCGTGTTCTGTGTGGGTAAAGGAGCCACACAGGAGAAGCGACTTCCCTTTACAACAGGGACTGTGAGGGCGCCTGGGTGGCTCAGTCAGTTAAGCGTCACAGTTCATGAGTTCAAGCCCCGTGTCAGGCTCCGAGCTGCCAGTGCAGAGCCTGCCTGGGAGTCTCTCTCAAAAATAAACAAAACAGGGAATACTACTCTGAGCAGAAGCTGACCTCTAGGAAGAGTAGGCATGAAGGCATGCCCGTGAGTGCTGCAGGTGGAAGAACACAAAAGATGCCAGGCGCCTGGGTGGCTCAGGCAGTTAAGCCTCTGACTTCAGCTCAGGTCATGATCTCAGGTTCATGGGTTCGAGCCCCACATTGGGCTCTGTGCTGATGGCACCCAGCCTGGAGCCTAGGGCCTGCTTTGGATAGTGTGCGTGTGTGTGCGCGCGCGCGCCCCACCCCCACTCACTCTCTCAAAAATAAACATTAAACTTTTTTTTTAATCAAAAAAATAAAATAAAGATGCTCAATGGCAACCTGAGCAGACTCTGAGGTAATGCTTTTTTTTTTTTTCTGGACCAAGTTCCACCATATGGGTGGAGGAAGGGGGATCCCCCCACACCACCAGGCGGGATCCCTACAGTGGGGTGGCCTACAGCTCAACTTAATTCTGACACCATCTACCTGGAGGTGGCGTCAGATCCCACAGGTGAGGGCACTCTCCTGGAAGCCCCGGCTATCACCATGCTTCTGATCAGCAAGCGGGTGGGGGGCTGGAATTAGAGGTTCCCATGACCCCCTTCTTGGGCTCAATTAACATGCTAGAGAAGGGGCGCCTGGGTGGCTCAGTGGGTTAAGCGTCCGACTTTGGCTCAGGTCATGAGCTCATGGTTTGTGAGTTCGAGCCCCACGTCGGGCTCTGTGCTGACAGCTTGGAGCCTGGAGCCTGGAAGCTGCTTCGGATTCTGTGTCTCCCTCTCTCTCTACCCCTCCCCTTTTCATGCTGTTTCTCTCTCTCTCAAAAATAAGCAAACATTAAAAAAAAGCAAAACAAAAAACCATGCTAGAGCAGCTCGAAGAATTAAGGAAACCCATTTACTCCATTGGATCACTCACTAT